GATGCCAAGTCTAGTGGAATTTGCTTAACTAAACGTTTTGAGTGGTGCCTGATTTTCGTTGCCGTGAGTGCTGTTTGACTCTCATAGGTACAGTCTGTTTTCGCCCGATATTTTACCAAAGTTGAAGACAACGGAGATGGGGATGTGGCTAAATGCGGTTCAGGGGAAGCGGATTGTGCAGCATTCTGTTGATAAGAGGCCGCTACGCTTCGGTGGTGCATACTCGCTTCCATTGAAATAATCTTATCGTTTATCCTCTGCTCGGCTTCTGCGGTTAACCGGTCGCATTTCTGAGCTAGGATAATCAAGCGATTAACGGGTGGGATAGTGGAGCACGCAGTACAGAACCAAAGTGCATCTTGAGAGTTATTTCGCTCTCGTACCTGTTGTTGGGACACGTTTGCACATTTCGTATGAAACCATTCCAAAGAGTGCGAACAAGCGAGACCGAATGTAACAATTCGATGACATTCTCCTAACCCGCAAATGCCTTTCGCCGAGTGTCTTTTCGGTTTCGCATCTCTGCCATTCAACGTGGTGTCGTTACCTGACCCAGTGGGTTTGTTAGCGTTCTGTACTTTGCCAGCTTTGAGAGCGGCGCACATCGGTCAGGCGAGCGTTGTGGTTGCCAGGTCAAATGAGTGATCGGCTTGGTCGCGCGGTCCATGTGATGGGTTATGCAGGCGCACTGGCTGGTAAGGTCACAAGGAATGGCGAGTCACTGGAATCTGCTAACTGAATCTGAACACAGCGCTGAAGACAGGTTGAGAGAGCAGAAATTCTTTCACAGCTGTATTGAGAAACGCTGGATCGGAATAAGCTTAGGCTTTTTGGCCTGCCTCGAGAATTCTGTATCGAATGGTGTCACAGAGACAGGTAATTGGCTCAATGTGATTGAGTTAACCGCTTGCGCTTAATCACGGATGCAAGTAAAAACGGTTAGTGATGGCCCAGGCTCTAATCGCAGAAGATATTTCCAAGTATGATGGATCACTGTGTAGAGCTGGTAAATCCGGTTCGAATGAGCGTACAGTGACAACGCTGCGAGAAGATGGTGAGACGATAGAGGGGAATAATCCAAATGAACCAGGAGCAAGCCAAGTAGCTCTACACTGCATGCGTTTCTTATCATGTGCATTTCCCTGCACCTGCTCTAGAAAGTTGCAGGACCACGCAGATCCTATCAATGACTTTGGGAGTCTTGATAGATGGCTAGTAGTGAACGTTTTGCTGAAGAATGGCGTTCCGCCGTAGGCACGTAATGCAATACGTGACAACCTTACAAATAGTACGCACTTCATGAGACTTTAAGGTAAAATATCTTCCGCAAATTCAAATTGCGGTGTTTTTCAAAGGTAGGCTATCCCTATTTTCTCTCTGCTCTCTATTTTAGAAGTCTAACGATCACAGGGTATACAGCCCAAGTGATTGAAAAATTTTCGAAAATTCAATGATGTCTACATGAAATTTTGACTTGATAAAGTTCTCGCTTCTCCTCCCCCATTCCTTCTAAGTGGTGCGATGTCAAATTCTGTTTGCTGCTGCTTTTGGTCATGAGTAAACAAAACCTTCCTCACTCACCCATTGTAAAGTGTGTTGGTGCTTGTCAGTTTCACAAGTTTTTAAGTCGATAGTTTTCCGAATCAATTCAGAAATAAAGAAGATCAAACTGTAGGTTATCAGGTCCAAAACGCCCTCCGGACCCAATTAGTTAGTTCAAAGGTTCGTAAATGCACTCTCCCCCGCTGATTCCCATGTTCCCCTGTTATTTCCCCGGACTTTCTTAAAAAAGGATTATATTCTTCTTGTGTCTTCACTATTTTCCGCTGTTTTGGATTGAGCAAGGAGTCCCTCATTGATTTCATCGTAGCAAGCATGTCAAGGCGTACCTCGACTGTTCATTTAGGATTCTAAGCGACACGCCTCACCTCCTACACAGTGATCTAGCCTGCAGGATATTTCTTTCTTTCACACGGTCGAAATTTAAAGTTTCAATTTCTCGTATCGGAACTCTAGTTTACCCTCACTGTCGAGCTTGTCAGTCGACCCAAGATCGATGAGATACCCGTTGCGCGGCCATTCGCTCGAACTGACACGCAACCACTTCGTCTACTTTGTCACTGCGTACATTCTCGCGGCTAATCAGTCACAACACTGTAGTGTGGTGCAGCAGCATACCGGCATTAAAAAAAACGAAGTTGAAACCTGCTGTAAAAAGCCTCATCATCATGCCACAGGTTAGGAATAAGCGAAAAACATTTTAGCTGGTGTATCGCAATGCAGCTCAATTAGATGGTAACAAAAATAAAGGAAAAATGTAATGTTTTATCATTAAGTTATCTTGATTACACAATACGATGGTGATTGCAAGGCAGGGTCAGAGAAGCTCACTAGATGTCAATATAAAAATGCCATCAAACAAACGTATTTTTATCCTTTGGAGTCCGGAGGCACTAACCGAAGAATAAAGGATCACAAGGCTGTCGTGCGAATTCGAGTGTACAGGGAATAGGGCGGCACTCGCAGTATCCCTAACCCAAGCGCGTGGTTGCGCGGCAGCAAAGCGTCGGTAGTACGTACCGCCGTACTGCTGATACCATTTATAACCTCGAACTTAGGGCCTTCATTGATCCAGAACGGGTTAACAACTGTTCTCATCGCTCCTTTTTCAACCCAAAACTCGGAACAACAGCGTAACAAAACGGAAACAAACACACTGACTCGGCAACATTCCGTCCATCACCAGAGCATGTGAACGATCGCACTAGTGAAAGAGGGAGTGAATAAAGTACGGTCGGACACCTTACAACCACATTACACGACGCTGCGCCGCCAGCCATTTATCCTGTGCATCGGTGGTCTCACCACGAGCACACATGCGAGTGGAGCAAACCGAATCAATCAGAATAAAACAAGAAGTACTCTTTATAACCGGGAACAGGGGGATCACGAGACGAGGTTTTCGAGATGGCGACGCCATTTCGTGCATTTTTTCAATCTCAAAACATGTAACAATAATGGATAAAGGAACAATCACCATGTCATATAACACGGTAAGTAACCGGACGTTTGCATTACAATGGTAGGATAAATGCCACAGATATCTTGCATCAACGGAATCAAGGGAAATTGAATTCGACGCATTCGGTCACTGAACAAAGGACGCATAGAGGTCGATCTACGCGGCTCCGCTACTGATTGATGTTCCTCGTCCTTTGTATGGAAAAATGGACCTAACAGAATGAAAACACCATTGTTCGGTAAAGCGGATGAACATTTTAAGTCGAGTCTGTTTGAAGGTCAAGCCAGTTTCAAATTATTTTTGTTAACCTATGCCCAATAAACTCGCAAGGTGAGTGCTGGAACCAACAAATAGAAACAAAGTGTCCCGACGTCCATTCCATTCGACGAAAACGCAGTGACTCCAGATGACTGACTAGACCCCAAGTTATGCACCACGGTGCCGCAGCAGAAGTATGCAGGCTACTGCATACATGCTACTGTGGCGCAGCACTAATGCGTCTGCAAAACTCGCACCAACAGATGTACAGAATCCGTTGCAGACAATGTTGATGAAATCGCTCCACATATCTGACATCCTTCTGACACATCGTCCACGTTCCCCTGCCGTATAGAAAAACAGACAGCATCACTGAGTTGTAAAACAGAAGCTTCGTTCCAACAGTAAGCCGGTGGTCGCCCCACACACGTACTTCCAACTTTCCATACACAGCAGCCGCATTCGATACGCAGACACACAGTTTGCTCATCATCTGCAAATCGGTCAAAAGTACACTAGCCAGGCGTCAAAATCTCAGTGTGGTTTCCAATGCACCATCACCGATATGGATTCGTGACAAACACGCGGATCGCATTTCTGATGTAGGATGAAAAAGACAAACAGTCTTGCTTGTATTGATAGTGAGCCCGAATTTGGCCGCAGTCAAAGCGACAGCCGAAGTCATGTGCTGCAACTCATCCGCTCTGTGCGCAAACAACGCACAGTCGTCTGTAGACAGCAACATACAGGTGGTTGTCTCACACACGAGGGTGATTGCCTCGAAACGACAGGTGTCAAGCAACCCATCGTCAATATGGTGCTCCACACTGACACTGTAATCACTAGCAGAATCAAGAGCACAAGATATGGTCGAACGGAGGCAAAAGGTAAACAGAGCAGAGGTTAAGATACAGCCTTGCTTCCCACTGGAGACAACAACAAAGCCATCCGAGGATTGTAGTAATCAGCCGCATCCTCGTCTGCATACCACTTTTGTAGACATTCAATTAAACTCACAAACTTACTCGGATAACCAACCTTAACCAACACCACCTACAATGCCTCGCGGTTCACCGTCTAGAATGCATTGGTGAAGTCAACAGACAGCGAGTACAATGGCTGGTTTCACTCTCGGCATTTCTTTTGCAAATGATGGGCTGCCGACATTACATCGTATTTTGATCCAGCCATTGAACCACAGATATTCTGGAACTGGCGCATCATGCTCATATGAGCGTTAACTATAAGCACTAATAACGAAATGCAGTACACGTTCTAGCTCGGGATGACAAGAAAGTCGGGAGTGTCCATCCCAAAAAAAATTAGCAGACCACGGAACCAATAATCCGCAAGAAATTCCACATCGATCATGGTTGCAGATCGAAATTACTCGAAACAACCTGAGCTAAGATTGCACGTTCACGCATACATGCGCCCTCCGAGCCTGGCAATGGGGTTTCAAACGCCCAGGGATCAAGTAAGGTGGCAACATCAGTGGGTAAGGCCCCGAATCGTTCAGCGAGCAGCTCTGTTACCTGAAGTAGCTAACACGAGGAGGAACGGAAGCCAATGTGGGCACAAACATAATCATAAACTACGTCACATACTAAGCGTAGCATCATGCGTAATAGAGCGTCAGACGAGAACATGTTGATGAAGCTCATCAGAATAACTATGAGCACACTGGGAATAAGGGGAAACACCTGAAACAAATACTCACTTAGATGCACTGCTTCAACGTGTCTTCTTAATACACTCCTATGAGTGAAGCATTTGTCACAATGCTCGCATCTGTGGGGCTGTTTCTCTGCAATAATAAGGTAAGCTATATTAAAGGCAATAAAAGAAGTAAAGAAAGCGCGATGACAAAAGCGAAGTGCTCTCCAGTAGAGTGCTAACCAGCAAGAAAAGTTGAAAATTGCAATACCACCACAGTAAGACCAGTTGCGGAAATTAAGCGGTTGTTCAGAAGTATTTGATGGTCTTTTGACAACCAAGGCAAGCAGACAAAATTGTGCGGTGAATTCAACTGGGATATACAATGAAAGAGCGCGTCTTGCTACAAACTACGCGAAAATTCAGATGGCGTGGTAATGCACAAAATGTGACGCACATGGGGAGTTGGATAAAGGGAGATAAATATTATGAAGATAAAGATTACAGTTTTTGCCTATGTATGCAGGCTTTTGCGAGACGGAAAAAAGCCATTGCTGTTGCAATCAATTGAGAAATGGTATGGAGACTGGAAACATTATCGATCAATACCGGATATGCATCTGCAGAACTCGACAGCTGCACACTGCACGGTCCTCTCCATGTGACCCTGGTAGCACTTTTTCAGGCGCTTGTTCGAAGAGTATACAGCTTCGAAGATCTGTTAAATCCATGTGCACGATTACAAGTCTCTGAATCTACACCAGCAGAATTGGATTCCAGCCAGAAGCCGGACGTAAGTCGTCAGATTGCATAGCTGATTCAAATTCACGCGAGGTCAAAAGGTGTTTGTAGCGAACTCCGGGGCCTACATCATCAAAAAGCATTACGACAATTCTGTAAAAGATGCCTCCTATATCCAACTAAACAAGCTCATTCGTCATCGACAATTACCGGATATTGCAGTGTCCGATAATGATAAAAGGCCCAAGCTGGGAAATTGTCCACGGATAAGCTGCATCTGGGTGATCAACACCGGGCAGATATCCGAAATGACAATTGTCAGCAGTCGGCAAACTCGTATGAAGAGGTTCGTGTATTACGCGAATTCTGGTAGACCCATCTTTAGTCGCAGATGAAAACAGACTCCATAAGTAGCCTCGAACAGAAAATGGGTAGCAGGAAAATTCGTGTGTGGACAGCGCATCCACAACCTTCCAAAATGTAATTTCCAAAAGAAATTTAAACGACCAGAATTGTCAGTTTTATCACCGGTCAAGATACCCCCACGCACTGATTAATCCTTTTTAGCCGTCCTCTCGCACAGAAGCCGATGGTTAGATCATGCAGCTGAAAGTGAATAAGGCAGCTGGACCAGATAATCATCCTCCAGCTCCCTTCAAATTCGGCAGAATTTCTCCTGTGAACGGATTACATGATTCATTCGTGAAACTGTCTCACCTGACTGCAGCAACTCGGTTACTGTCCAGATCCCCCAGTGGGTCGCAAGTCCGGAATGCGGCAGTCTCGTCTCTATCGCCTCTGTTACCTGAACCTGGCAGCCTGAAGAAAAAGTTGGGTTGATGGGTTGGTTTGATCACCTCTTCACTTGAAGTCCATTGTCGGATCCAGTGTAGTCGTATTCCTCCATTTCAAAAATGCCTTCCACTAGGTTGAGCGATGATTTTGGGACCGTTTCATAAAGAAACGTTTGTCCAAGAAATATATAACCAATATTCGACCACTGTACGTAGACAGTTCCAGCACAATGAGGGTTTATGGTAAGCTGCCGCCGCCCTCCTATATATCTGGCATTGTAGGACTGAGACAATCACTGTCCCACTTGCTTGTTAACTTCCGCCCTGAAGAAGTTATGTAAACTACGTTCGATGAACACGAAGCTGCTCCCAGCTGAGCGATTCATTGATTTGAAACATGCAGACGATATATTCTTCGTCAACAACAGCTTACTAACGTATCAAGTGGTACGGGACAAAGTAACATTGGCTGTCAGTCGTCTAGTGCACATCAATACACCCCCTGCCAAATGCAAACCACTTCTCCAACATTGGCAGTGATCCACCCCCTGCGCCGACCCCTGGTGTGGATAAGCCAGAAATCGTTCAGAGATTCAACTACTTGGGCAGTTATTTCAGCGCAAGTGAAAGGGGAGATGAAATCACAAAACGTGTAGCCAAAGCTCGAGCCGCTTCTGCCAAGCTTCGCCACATGTGGTGTAGCTGTGAGGTTAATCTCGCCCTGAAGGATAGAGTGTACAGTTCAACCCTACTGTACGGTTGTGAAACCTGGCCCATAATATCGACAAACGTGAAGAACCCAGCTGCGTTCGACCAACAGTGCTTTCGCAGCTTAGCGTACATCTGACAGAAACACCATGTGAGCAATGAGCGTCCTCGGCGTCATGTTTACGGCGCAGTAAGAGTCTGAAAGACGTAACAAACCATAGATGAAGCTACACCAGTGAGTTGCTAGCTGATGTTTTAAATAATGGAATACCATTCGCAATCCACCTGTGCAGGTTGACATAATGTGCCAGCCAGGTATGTGAAGCACGAGAAGCACAGCAGTGTTAAAACCCACGATTCAACAACCCCTCTGTCATAAGAGCCTGAGAGAAACCACAGATAACTGCATTATGCAAAGCCTCGTCTCGTCATCGCCACAGTACAGTCAGCTGACTCCTACAACACATTTGCTGTGGCTGCGAGACCAAACTAGCCTCCGCAAACGGCTGATCACCACTGTCCCCTGTGCTTTTCGCCAAACACAACAAACCCATGGAATAAACACAAGGAAAAGTATTTGTTAATTACAGACAATATTGGATCGAAATTCGAAGACGCCCGGTGCGCTACTGGAAGGAATGAGATACGGAGGGTGTAAAACTTACTTAAGTGAATAGCTTCCACGTGGGTCCGAAGGTAGCATCTTACGGAAAATGATTTTCCACAGTATTCGCATGTGTGATCTCGCTGCTCTGGAACAAAAAAACAAGACAATTAGACATGCATGGCATCGAGCAATGAACTATTTCATGACGTTTGAAAGTTAACTGGTTAATGACAGGGTGAATATCCGCCTAAAAGTCTCTGGCTCTCACGCATTGAGCAATGCATGAATGAAGAATTAAACCCACTGGCATTACACCAGGCCAGTGCATATAAATCAACCAGGCTCTATTGTTCGATATCCAAGTGAACGCGTGGCTACTCTCTAAATCAAATGATCAAAACACTCCCGGAAGAGCAAAGAGATGGGCGGCTAAAGGAAGTGAAACATTCCGAATTGAAGAGCTGTGATATTAAGATATCACAGCTTTAGCAGGATTCACCTCGTTCGTTCAACTGTCCAATTTTGTAGAGCCAATTCCAATTGGTGCTGATGACGACAGAACGGATCTGGACTCCAGTGTCACTGTAGAGAAGCATCCAGCCTGATACCACTGATGTTTGTACACAGACCGATAGTAGAACATACCTCTATCACAGTAATGGAGCATGGCAATCTAAGCCCTGAAGTATTGGAAAACGAAGAACTACCACCCGCTACGGCTAACTAGTGCACAGCTGCCTGCCACATAACAAGTACTTTAACTATTCAGGGATTCCGCAGGTATTTCTGTGTTCAACTTGCATCATAAAGCCTACAGCAGTCTTAGAGGGTTTGTCTCAACGGGTCACATCCACTCTATCTTCTCTCCGGCAATGCTCTCAAGCGCCCTCACATCCACTGGTAAACAACCATCATGGTATTCTCGAATATTCAAGCCGCTTTTAATTGATTACATAAAAATTCGCCGTGGAAGGGCTTGCTAAACAGACTTACAGTGTGACTTTGTCGTAATGCAGAGGGAAATGCATCGTCACATGCCCGGTAAAGTCATGGTCTATGTTGGGACGCTTTCTTCGCCTGCTTTTACCAGCACTGTAGCTCAACGTGATCATAGCTCATCATACCCATTAAGCATTACCATGGTGGATATACTTCACCCAACGGTGAAACATGGTCAGAGCATCTCCCAAGCGATAACGTCGTTGACTTTGATTTTTTAGATGACATCGCTTTTTGGGAGATCTGCAGACCAGGAAAAATGTTTTCGAACCACTCAAATATAAAGAAAACTATTTAGGGACCACAGTTTAACGGACATAAGAGCAATGTCCTGCTTCGGAAGAAGCTGGTACCTATGTTTGCAGTCACTGTTGCAAGCAACAAGCTTGAGTAAATCAATAGTTTTGCTTATTCAGTGAGTTGCATGACAGTTGGGGTTGGAGATGAACCTTCACGAATTGTTAAAACTCACATTGGCGTCGTTGAAATGTCAGTCGCAAATTCAGATGCAGATTACTCAGGCACTCTGCATGTGCCGCCCTACTGTACAGTTCGGGTATGTAGCCTACTGCCTCAAAAGATTTGAACCGAATGCCAATTTGCCACAATGGTTTTGTGTGTGAAGGGACCCTCGTGTGTGATTGCAATATCACATGAGCGAAGCAGCACCGTACTATGGGAGTAAGCAAAAAAGAAACCCTGTACTATTCTGTCGAGATGGGATCAAAAACGTGCATACAGCTAATGGTGCTTCCCGTTCTAATGTGTTCATGCTAAAATGTTCCACTTGTTTCTCTTACTCCCATCCCGACCCTATTACTAAGTTTCCTTCTATAATTCCCAGCTTAGTTGACAGCAACCGAAGTGCCACTGGAGTAGAACCATCTGCAGCCACCTTCCCGCGAAACGCACCGGACGCCTATAGACAAGTCCCTTATAAGCGAACGCTGTCCCGCTTCCATGGCGACGTTCAACGTTCGCACTCTAAGATAAGTAGATCAACAGGCTACACTCGCACGCACCTTGGACACGCTGGGTATTGGTAGAAATTCGTCACACTGGGTATTGATGTGTGTTGTGTGTCCGAAAGTAGGAGCAATGACCCTAATGGGGTTGCCGAATTAACTGCACCCAGTTTGTCCTCTCGTTATTGGTTGCATGCATCCGGAGACGCCGATGTAGCATCCACGGGTCAAGCTGGTGTAGGTATCATTCGAAGTATCTGGAAAAGCGCGTGCCGACTGATGGAAACGAATCGATTATAGTGGGAATATAGAAGAAGGGCAGTCGCACAGACTGTTCTAATCACACGGGTATTAGCCCAACGCCAGTTGTGACAAAATTACTGGCCTCCATTCTCGTTCGTCGCCTCACTGTGGAACGAGAATCTCGGATTAGGGAAGAGCAGGCCGGTTTCCGACCAGGACGTGGCTGTATAGACCATATATCCAATTTGCTGCAGGCGTTGGAGCAGCGCCACGCATACCGCAGACCGACAACAGCTGTGGTCCTCGACTTCAAAAGCACGTTCGATTCAGTCAATCGATGGATTCTGTTCAAAATACTTCAGCGTAAAGGTGTTCCCACGAAATATGGGAACATCCTACGTGCTGTATACTCACATTACAGGCCGCGTCAGGGTCTACGGTGGTCTATCGGATAGCTTTCCAACTACAAATGGCGTTCATCAGAGTTGTCCGATTTCCCCATGTCTGTTCAATTTCGTCGTGGATTCTATCATGCAGCGTTTCCTTGCGGAATCTCACGATGGAGACGTTGAAGTGTTGTCTGGTGAAAGATTAGTTGCACCTCTAAGGTGCAAAGTGTTGCTGCAGGACAACCAGCCAATTTATGACCACTTGGGTCTTGCTAAAGAGGAACTAGAGGTGGGTGATCAATTCACTTATCCTGGCAGCTGCATCAGTAACTATAGGCGCATAGAAGCTGACGTCAGCTCAAGCATTGTAAAGGTCAGATTCGCCTTACTGAACCCGCGGCATCCTTGGAGAAAGAAGGGAATTTCCCTCCATCTGAAAGGCCATGTATACAAGGCCACAGTGAGGACCATTGTTCGCTATGGTAGTGAGACTTGACCCCTTCTTTCTGAGGATCTGACGCGCCGCCAAGCCTTTGATCATCGTTGTCTACGAAGCATTGCTGGTGTCGGATGGTACCAGCGTGTCCGCAACGCTGATGTGCGTAGGCGAGTACTAGGTAGTGATAATCATGCTAACTCGCTAAAACAATAGATAGCACTGAATAAGTTGCGTTGGCTTGGGCACGTGCTACGCATGCCTGGGCACCGCTTCCCTTGGAGGGCCTTGTTTAGTCTGCCAGGAGTAGGGCGGCGCAAGGCTCGAGGTGGACAGAAGTTGACTTGGCAGCGGGAAATGAAGTTACTGACGACCAAACTGGATGCCGTTGGTTCGTCTCGTCCTCCGGGTTGGAGTCCACGTGACTCGCCTTGTGCTTGGCTCGAGACTTTACAGGACATGGCTCGCAGTAGACACCAGTGGCGCGTTTGCTGCCGTCTCCTAATCAGATTGCCTGTTTAAAGTGTGCTTGGTGCTGAGCTATCTGCGGGGTAATGACTGATTATGACGCGTGGCAGTGAAAGCCGCAAGGAAGCTGTCTCGCCGATGCCGCCTTATCTTTGCACGAGAGCCAGCTGTTTGTGACGGTATGTTGTTAACACAAGGTGTAGGCCCCTTGGCCCTGAATGTTGGCTTAGGGCACGAACGTTTTCAGATAAATCTCTCTTCTCTCCCACTTATTATTCTTTATTCCACAGGTCATCGTGGTTGTACGGCAGCGAAGCATCAGTTCAAATGGCGATGTTGCTGTTGTTGTTGATTTGATGATGAACTTATTTATGCGATAGTCATGCCAGTATATCTGTATGCATTATTCGGTTTATTTTAGTACATCCTGTCGTTTCAAGTGAGTGGCTGTTGTTTGATATCCCCGGTATGGCTGCGCATGATGTTCAGTTTGACAAGGTACCTACCCGTCTATTACCCACTACAGGAGACAATTGGGCGTTGCTGGAAGGGACAGGGTGCACGGCCCTTGGGGCCGTGCTAGGATCAAAGAGTGGTTCCATGCACACAGTGATGAGCGGACCACGGTCCAGCTACCGTCTTGTGTGTATCTGATTCCAAAATGCAGCGTGCTTGTGTTTCCTGTGAAGGAGTGTGGTCCGGCTCCGTTGATGAAACGTCGCTCCCATCCACATGTCTCGCGGTCTTATTCCTTCGGGTTTATACTGGATATGGGGTGTGTGGATGGAGCTATGGGTGTTGCAGCGCAAGCCACCCATGACCCTGTGTAGGCGCAGGCGCTCTGTGACTGGCTACAGTGACAGGCGCTTCCTGAAATCGGATTGCAGAAATAATGCAGGTCCCGCGACCGCAGATTGATTGTCTCTTGTACAACCGTCCAGAGATGGAGTTCGCTGTGTTCCACGGGCTGCAACAGCAAGAGTTGATGTGTATTGCCGACCTCGGCACTGGATGATACGCAGGGAGTAGTTGCGCAGCCAGCAAGTGCGTCCATTTCGATGGGTCCCGCCTGAAGTAATAAAACACGGTGGACCAACGTTGGTAAATGAGTTGAATCACTTGGTACAACGCTTATGGACTGAAGAGGAAGTGTCGGCCAAGCTGAGGGATGCCATTGTGTTACCATTGTCCATGGGAAAAGGAAGACACTCAGTTGCACGAATTATCGTGGCATCAGCAGGCTGAGTTGTCTGGGAAAAGTGATTGCTCGAATACTGCTCAACCGTCTCGTCAATCAGGTGGCGGAAGAGCAGCACAGATTCCGTTCGGGCCGCGGCATCACAGATAAGGCGTTCGATGCTCGTCATGTGCAGGAGAAATGCAGGGAGTCACATCAGCCATTGTACTCGCTGTTCGTTAACTTCACCAGGGCAATCGACACGGGGAATCCCAAACAATGTGGTTGATGCACTTGAGTGGAGGAACCTCTATGCCCCACACCTGAACTTCACATTTTTTCGTAATGTACTCACATTGATCATGTCCTGGCAACGTAATTTCAGTATCCGTAAGTGCTGCTTCCCCGCACAGAGTTCGCCGTACAAAATATGTTTGGATATCCACGTCGAGTTCACACAGCTGACATGCCCAATCCACCTCAGGTTCCACAGCAGAAGTACGCCACTGCGGCGCACCACTTCCGTGTCTGCAACACCGTCGCACTAACCGATGTGCAGAATCCGTTGCAGATAGTGTTGATGAAATCGCTCCAGATATCTGACGTCCTTCTGACACATCGTCCACGTTCCCCTGCCGTACAGAAAAACGGACACCACAATCGAGTTGTATAACAGAAGCTTCGTTCCAACAGTAAACTAGTGGTTGTTCCACACACGCTTTTCCAACTTTCCAAACACAGCAGCCGTATTCGATACGCAGACACACAGTTTGCTCATCATCTGCAAATCGGGCAAAAGTACACTAGCCAGGCGTCAAATTCTCGGAGTGGTTCCCAATGCACCATCACCGATATGGATTCGTGACAAACACGCGGATCGCATTTCTGGTGTTGGCTGATAAAGACAAACAGTCTTGCTTGTATTGACGGTGAGCCCGAATTTGGCTTCTGTCGAAGCGAGAACCGAAGTCGTGTACTGCAACTCATCCTCTCTGTGTGCGAACAACGTATAGTCGTCTGCAGAAGACAACATACAGATGGTTGCCTCACACGCTACGTGTGTTGGTAACTGAAAGCCGGGGTGAAAGGAATCGCCTGTCTCTGTGCGGTTGATCAGGCGATCGATCGAACGGAGGAGCGAGTTTTAAAAACCCGGCCTCAGAGTTGAAAATACAGCGTTTGTGTGGAGACCCGGTGCGAGTTCTTTCTGCTGATGCGGCTGGGTGAACCAGGCACATAACAGGGTGAAGGAGTTGCTGACGTACCAAAACCCGCTCGCATGTAAGGCACAAACGTTGATTCTATTGCCGCAGCCTCTACAAATGACAGAAAGCACATTATCTGATAGCTGGAGGGCGTGGAAAGCGAAAGGGATGGATTTCGCTACCATGATCGCGTTAGGTGAATATCGGAGATCATATCAAATAGCGATGTTCAGGTACTGCATCAGCGAAGACGCGAGACGGATATTAGAAGCCTGGAAGTTCTGCGATGATGACGCAGAACAGGATCTTTCAGACATAATCGAGTGGTTTGGTGATTTTTGTGAAGACCGATCAAACCTATTTGCTCGCTGCTGCCGATCGGCTAAAGTTAGCTCACTTATTATTGGAAATGGGCAAGAAAAGCAATAAATAACAGTTGGACCGCGAAAATCACGAAAGGATTATTGCGACACCGTCAAGTTAAGAACGATCAGTACCATTGCGAGTTGATTCAATAGTCACCTTGAGTACACTGTTCGAGACACACTGTACCGGAGTGCAGTTCAGTGAAACACGGAGTTGTCACAAATGGTGTAACAACTTGATGATACATCCGAAAGGGAAGGTTGTGGCGAAGGTTTTCAAGTAGGCAAAGAATCGAATTATTAAAGTCCGAAAGACGCATGAGGATGCTTGTCTAATGCTAAGTAAAAAATGCCTAGTAAATAATTCAGCAACAATCAGGTGCAGTTTCTATTCAAACACAAAGCAGACCGAAAGCTCAACCGCAATGAAAGAGGCTATGGAAACTGAAACACACGAACTACGAAAAAAAGGAAGCATGTGATGACTGAAAGCCGGGGTGAAAGGAATCGTCTGCCTCAGTGCGGTCGATCAGGCGATCGATCGAACGGAGGAGCGAGTTTTAAACACCCGGATATTTGTACTTTTCCTCAGAGTTGAGAATACAGCGTTTGTGTGGAGACCCGGTGCGAGTTCTTTCTGCTGATGCGGCTGGGTGAACCAGGCACATAACACTAGGGTTCTTTCTCGGCTCGAAACAATTCATCATCATTACGGTGCTCCAAACGTACGCCGTGATCACAAGCAGTATCAAAAACACAGGATATCACTGAAGGCAGGGAAAATTAAACAGGATAGGGGCTGACACAGTCTTGCATGAAACCAGACTACAGCAGTCATCCTAGGTTTGTCCAAAGAGCTGCACCCACACGCGTATACCAAAGAGTAGCTATGCACTTAAACGTACAAACTTAGTCGGGAAACGAAACTAACCGAACACCAACCACAGTGCCTCGCAATTCACCATAGCAAATGCCTTGGTGAAGTCAACAAACAGCGAGTACAATGGCCGGTGTGGCCCTCTGCATTTCTCCTGTAACTGACGATTCCCGAGCACCATATCGCATTCTTATCCCGTCACTTCTCGGAAGGGAGGGCGTTAACTATAGCACCAACAAAAACAGCACATGTTCTGGATCGGGATGACATGCAAGCTGTCCAATGTGTTTATCCCATGAAAAACAGCGGACCACGGAACCAATAATGCGCAAGAAATTTCACATCGGTCATGGTTGAAGATCGACCTTACGCAAAACGCTGTCAGTTAGAGTTGGTTGTATAGGCAAACATGTGCCTGCCGACCTGGGCAATGGGGTTTCAAGCGCTTAGAGATCAAGTAAGGTGGCAACATCAATTGGTAGAGCCCCGATTCATTCAGTGAGCAGCTCTGTTACCTGAAGTAGCTAACTCGAGGAGGAACGGAAGCCAATGTGGGGGCAAACATGACCATAAACTACGTCACATACTACGTATAGTTCCATGTGAAACAGAGCGTCAGATGGTAACACGCTGATGAAGCCCGTCGGAATAACTGTTAGCACACTTTTTTAAAAACGGAAAACTGCTAACACTCTGAAACAATTGCTCACTTAAATGCACAGCTCCAATGTGTCTTCTCAAAGCCCCGCCATGAAAGAAGCATTTGTCACAATGCTCGCATCTGTGGGGCTGTTTCTCTGCAATAGTAAATAAAGCCATATTAACGACAGTGGAAAAGTAAAGAAAAAATGACGACCGAAACGAATTGCGCCCGAATCGAGTGCTAACCAAAGTGATACGTTGAAAATTGCAATCCCATCATCATTAAGTGGTTGTTCGGATGTATTTGATGATCTTCTGACAACCAAGGCAAGCAAACAAGGTTCTAGTGTCAACTCAACTGGGAGGAGGAAGAGTGCATCTGCCTATAAAATGCATAGAAGTTCAAACGGCTCAACAAGGCACCGACTGTGATGCACGTGGAGTTAGGGAAAGAGAGACAAAATCGTATGCTGTTAGGTCCCTGTTTATAACTTTCGAAAACAGTCACGTTTCTCGGAACTGTGCTTACATCTAAAACTCTTAATAATGGCACTACGCCAGTTCAGCACCACGTGACCCACACACAGACGTCAAAATAACAGGTCATCTCTCCGTTAATACGCCATCGCGCCAAAGGACGTGACAAGCATGGGTGATTGAGTAAGCACTATATCACTTCTCATTTCATTGCATACTTCACGCAGTGGCTGACATCCGTGGTGCAGCAGCTTGCACCTTTAGCGCAAAAACCATAATCCGATAGTCACAAAAATTGCATCCACCACGGTCTCAGCAGCTGTCCGCTCGCATCAAACGGACATCTCGTTTGTTCACCCAAGCCCTCTGTGAAACGGTTTTGATTTCACTCACAACGCGCTCCATCAGGCCAGGGGGCGAGATCCAGTCCCCCGGACATGCTCACTGTTACGCCTGCGTTCATCAGGAACTGTAATGACTTCACTAACCTTCACACTACAGGATTTGGAGTTCATAAGCTTATTGTCAGATACTGGTGCGCACCTAGAAGAGCGGATTGCTTGAGTGAGTAAACTATAAGTCCGGTTGAGGCGAACGGACAGCTGACACCAGAGCCAGTGGTGGATGCAATTTTTGTGACTATCGCATAATAGACTTTGGGTTAAGGATGCAGCCAGCTGCGCTACGGATGAAAGCCCCTGCGTTAAGCATGTAATCAATTGTGAAAGAACATAGAGACTGGAAACATTATAGACCAATACCTGATGCATACCGGATATCCATCTGCAGAACTCGACAGCTGCACACACTACGGTCCTCATCATGTGACCCTCTCTGGCAGTACTTTTTCAGGCGTTTGTTCGAAGATTACACAGCTTCAAAGGTCGGTCAAATTCGTGTGTATGACTACAAGTCCCTGAATCTACTCCAGCAGAATTGGATTCCAGCCAGAAGCCGGACGTACGTCGTCAGATTGTATGGATCATTCAAATTCACGCGAGGTCAAAAGGTGATTTTAGCTAACTGCGGGGCCTACATCATCAAAAACCATTACGACAATTCTGTAAAAGATGCCTCCTATATCCAACTAGACAAGCTCCTTTGTCATCGACAATTATCGGATAGTGTAGTGTCCGATAATGATAAAAGGCCCAAGCTGAAAAAATGTCTACCGAAAAGCTGCATCTGGGTGACCAATACCGGGCAGCTATCAGAAATGGCAGGCGTGAGCAGTCGCTAAACTGGTGTGAAGAGGTTGGTGTATTACTCGAATTTTGGTAAACCCATCTTTTTACGCAGATGAAAACAGACTTTAAAATCAACCTCGTACAGAAAGTGGGTAGCAGGAAAATTGGTGTGTGGACAGCGTATCCACAACCTTCCAAAACGTAGGCACTGAAAAGTATTTTAAACGACCAGAATTTTACCATCGGTCATGATACCCCACGCACTGAGTAATCCCTTTTAGCCGTCCTCTCGCTCAGAAGCCGATGGTTAGATCAAGCAGCTGAAAGTGAATAAGGCCGCTGGACCAGATACTCATCCTCCAGCTCCCTTCAAATTCCGCAGAATTTCTCCTGTGAACGGATTACATGATTCATTCGTGAAACTGTCTCACCTGACTGCAGCAACTCCGTTACTGTCCAGATCCCCCAGTGGGTCTCAAGTCCGGAATGCGGCAGTCTGGTCTCTATCGCCTCTGTTACCTGAACCTGGCGCTCTCCATAGACTGGCTGGCGAGCGAGAAAACCAGCAACCTGAACAGCACATTAGGCTGATTGGAAATAGAGGTTGCATTGACCACATCTTCACTTGGAGTCACTTGTCGGATTAAATGTAGTCGCGTTCCGCCACTTCAAAGGTGCCTTCGACTAGGTTGAGCGATGTTTTTGGGACCGTCAGATAAAAATCATTTGTCCGAGATATACATAAACAATATTTGAAAACTGGACACAAGCGGTTCGGTCGGTCGGCGCCTTGCAATGCATCTGGCAATGTGTAGTTGTACACAATGAAAAACAATTCGCAATCCACCTGTGCAAGTTGACATAATGTGCCATCAAGATGTGCGAAGCACGAGAAGCTGAGCAGCGTTAAATATCCCCATTTAACAACACATCTGCCATAGGAGCCTGATAGGAACCACACATAGCTGCATTATGCAAAGCTTCGTCTCGTCATCGCCACATATAGACAGCTGACTACTAATAATCGGACGTTTGTGGCTGCAAACGGTTGACCACCACAGTCCCCTCTCATTCCCGCCACACAACAAACTCGTGGAATAAACACAGAGGTTAGGGCAATCGTTAAACACAAAAAATACACTGGATACATCTTAAAAGATGCGTCGTAGTTAGAGTCTGGCAGATAGCCACCACACATCCAGGAAAGTGCTAGACGATAGTTTCGTCATGTTGCGACTCATCAGTAGTGTCCACCGATCCAACAGTGTTGAATTAGAACCCAAGACATTGTTCGTCCGAGCCACCGATTTGTTCCACTGAGCCCAGGATCAAAGTTCGTAAATGCCCGGTGAGTTAATGAAAGGAATCACAGACGGATGGGGTAGTACTCACTTAAGTGAACAGCTTCTACGTGTCTCCGGAGGTAGCATCTTATGGAAAATGATTTTCCACAGTATTCGCATGTGTGATTTCGCTGCTCTGGAACAAAAGAAACAAGACATTTAGACATGCATGGCATCGAGGAATGAACAATTTCATGAAGTTTGAAAGTGAGCTGGTTAATGACAGGGTGAATATCCGCCTAAAAGTCTCTGGCTCTCTCGCATTGAACAATGCATGTATGAAGGATTAAACCCACTGGCATTACACCAGGCCAGTGAATAAAAATCAACCGGGCTCCATTGTCCGATATCCAAGTGTACGCGTGGCTACTCCCTAAATCAAATGCTCAAAACACTCCCGGAAGAGCAAAGAGATGGGCGGCTAAAGGAAGTGAAACATTCCCAGTTGAAGAGCTGTGATATTAAGATATCACAGCTTTAGCAGGATTAACCCCGTTCGTTCAACTGTCCAATTTTGTAGAGCCAATTCCAATTGGTGCTGATGACGACAGAACGGATCTCAACTCCAGTGTCACGGTAGAGAAGCATCCAGCCTGATACCACTGATGTTTGTACACAGACCGATAGCAGAAGATACTTCTATCACAGCTATGGAGTATGGTAATCTAAGCCTTGAATTACCGGAAAATGTATAACTACCACAAAGCGCACAGTTGCCTGTCATCTAACAAGTACTCCATTAAGGAGTGCGTCAACTATTCTGTGATTCCGCAAGTAGTTCTGTGTTCATCTTGCATCACGAAGCTTACAGCCGTCTGGAGTGGTTTGTCTCAATGGGTCACATTCACTGTATCTTCACTCCGGCAATGTTTTCAAGCGACGTAGCATCCACCGATAAACAAAACTCATGGTATTCTCGGATACTCAAGCCGCTTTTAACTGATTACACAAAAATTCTCTATGGAAGGGCTTGCTAAACAGACTTACAGTGTGACTTTGTCGTAATGCAGAGGGAAATGTATTGTCCTACGCCCGGTAAAGTCATGACCTAGGTTGGGATGCTTTCTTCGCCTGCTTTTATCCGCACTGTACCTCCGCGTGGTCATAGCTCACCATATCAAATATGTATTACCATGGTAAATGTACTATGCCTAGCGATGAAAAATGGGTAGATAAGTAGCGAATAGCTTCTCACTTAGAAAAAATCATTGCCTTTCAATATTCAAATGATATCCCTTTGTAGGGAAAATATTTCGAAACTCAGGGAAATTAAAAAAAACCTTGTTATGTTCCACAGTTTAATGTCCTGATTCGGATAAACCAATACCTGTGTCTACAGTCACTGTTGCAAGCAACAAGATTGAGTAAATCAATACCCTTGCTTATTCAGTGAGTTGCATGACAACTGGTGTTGGAGAGGAACCTTCACGAATTGTTAGAACTCACACTGGCGTCGTGGAGATGTCAGTCGCAAATTTAGAAGCAGAGTGTTCAGATACTCCGCATGTGCCGCCCTGCTGTACAGTTCGGGTATGTAGCCTACTGCCTCAAAAGATTTGAACCGATTGCCAATTTCCGACAATGGTTTTGTGCGTGAATGGATCCTCGTGTGTGATGGCAATATCACATAAACGAAACTGAGCAGCGTATTATGGGAGTAAGTAAGAAGTAACAATGTACCATTATGTCGAGATGTGATCGAAAACGTGCATACAGTTAATGGTGCTTCCCGTTCTAATGTGTTCATGCTAAAATGTTCGCGGGTAAACAATCTCTGGTTCAGATGGTGGTGAAAGGCAAATCCAGCTATGTCTTACACTGCCACAAAGCCGGTGTCCATTACGTGTGTTGTTAGACTGATACAAATATGGACCACTCAACCCTCGAAGCACAGATAGGTAAGTCGCTTCAGTTTCGGCACCACAAGCACGCACCCGTGTCCGCGTGCTGCTCACAGATGGAGCAGTCAAGCAGATATGATATACAAAAGTAAAATTCAATAGTACTTGACGACAGGACAGTCTAGCATTGTGGTCGTCGTAAAGTAAACCCTGTAAGTTTGCAACGATTCTAGTAGTAACGTTACTGAAACCGTTTGATAATCCGTGTCTTGACCTCCGGTGATTGGATAACAGAAAGGCGCTGTTCTAATGATGAAGAAGAAAAGACGAGTGACGATCTCTTCAGAACTAGTGAAAGAGCTGCAGTTAAGCCACCGATGCATGTGTTGCCCGTTACGATATCACCTCTTCGTGTTCTCTAGTGACTTAACGTAGTGAGAAAGTACACACCGACACTTCTCGTAAGGTCTGAAATGTAACGGCTGGTTGTCAAGAGTGTAGGTACGACCATTACCAGCTTTCCACAAGCTTATGAAAATCGACTTGAATAAGTTGGAAAACAGACCGACTACAGCAGATCACACGGTCGCAGTCGCTGTGAATGCTAATCGTTGTCCACATCAACAGGTCATCGTCGAACAGGAGAGGCTGAGGTAGATCGTTGGTGGGGATCAAGAAAAGAGCGAGTCCTAGCATTGTGCCTTTGGGTACGTCACTTGTGAGGGATAACAGTTGGATCAGATGCTCCAGATTTATAAACTACTCTACACAGTGAAACGCGAAACACCGTGGCTGGTGTTGGAAAAGTTTGATTGCCTGAATAAGTTTGTAAGCTTAAGTGTATGGCTGCACTGTGGTATACACGCAAGGGTGCAGCTCTGTGGACAAACCTAGGATGATTTTGCCGTTGACCTGGGTTGAGGCGAGGCGGTGCCTTAGCTAAAAGACCTGCTTAAAAGTTACTTCAAATGCTATGCTTTTAATACTGCTTCAGATCACGTTGACCGCGCGGAACACCGTATTGATGATGGGTTGCTAAACGCCCGTCGTTTCGAGCCGAGAAACAACCCTAATGTTTGAGACAACCATCTGTATGTTGCCTTCTGCAGACGACTATACGTTGTTTGCACACAGAGAGGATGAGTTGCAGCACACGACTTCGGCTCTCGCTTCGACAGCGGCCAAATTCGGGCTCACCTTCAATACAAACAAGACTGTTTGTCTTTTTCAGCCAACACCAGAAATGCGATCCGCGTGTTTGTCACGAATCCATATCGGTGATGGTGCATTGGAAACCACTCCGAGATTTTGACGCCTGGCTAGTGTACTTTTGACCGATTTGCAGATGATGAGCAAACTGTGTGTCTGCGTATCGAATGCGGCTGCTGTGTTTGGAAAGTTGGAAAAGCGTGTGTGGAACAACCACTAGTTTACTGTTGGAACGAAACTGCTGATATGCAACTCGATTGTGGTGTCCATTCTTCTGTACGGCAACGGAACCTGGACGATGTGTCAGAAGGACGTCAGAAGTCTGGAACGATTTCATCAACACTATCTGCGACGGATTCTGCACATCGGTTAGTGCGACAGTGTTGCAGACACGGAAGTGCTGCGCCGCAGCGGCGTACTTCTGCTGTGGAACCTGAGGTGGCTTGGGCATGTCAGCTGTATGAACTCGACGTGGATATCCAAACATATTTGTACGGCTTACTCAGTGCACGGAAGCGGAGCGTAGGAAAAGCGAAATCATATTACCAGGACATGAGTAAATAACGAACGTGAATTTAAGGTGTTGGAAATCAAAGGTGGTTGTGTGGCGCAAATAGTGTGAGCTGATTAAGTGGGCGGTTACGCAAGTGAACGATAAGGTACTAGTGCATGGGGATGAGAAACGCCGGGAAAAGAAATGGAAGGCACCGATGGATTCTAGGCCATCGACGCCGAGCGCATGGTTCTGCAGCACATGTGGTCACGAGCGCCTGAGTCAATCGGGCTTGGTAAGCCACTAGCGTGGCAACGTAGGGGCCAGCATTCAAAAGACGACGCTCCATCCGGTTATATACGCATTAGCAGTGCAGCGATTGCTAGGTGCGCTGTGTCCGCTTCGATTCTAGTTACTAGCCCAGTCCAATAGGTGATATGCTGTTACCTCGTCGTTTCAATTAGTCCGTACGTGTGCTTGCGTGTTCAGTTTCTCGCACTTCAGGGGTTGGTTGTTGGTTGATATCCCCGGTGTGGGCTGCGCTTGATGTGAATGTTGACAAGGTGTCCAACTGTCTATAACCCACCACCTCGTCTATGCTAACTGCAGGAGACAGTTGGCCGTTGCTGAAGGGAACGGCGCGCACCGTCCTTGTGACCATGCCAGGCTTAAAGAGTGGTTCCATGCATCTACCGTGAAACAGGGTAAGGCGCAGCCACCGCCTTGTACACGTCTGGTACGCATGATTCCTCATTTAGGCATGAATGCATCTGCTCTGCCCGTTGAAGAGTGTGGGCCGCCTCCGTTGATGAAAATTTGCCCCTATCCACATGCCTCCTTGTCTTTTTCTTTCGGCTTTACGCTGGATATTAGGAGTGCGGTTGGTGCAGCGTAAATCACCCATAGTTACTCTGTAAGCGCAGACTTCCTGTGGTTGTCCACATATAAGCCGCAGTGACAGGTAAATGCGGAACCAGATTCTACCAACCATGTTACGCACCTGCGACCACGGCTAGCCTCAGGTGGGAATTGGTGGGTTTGCACCAAATGACCAGGGGCTGTCTGGCTTAAGGCGGGCGGTAGTAAGCCATTGAGCGTTGGATCGTGCCCTCCCGCCGTCAGAGACAATGTTTGGCGTTCGTGCTCTACGCCAACCGAGCTGTGGGCATTTAACCCGTAGGCCAGTTGTCTACCACAGTCAGGATTTAAAGGAAGAGGCTGATCGACCTATCTCAAACCTCCAAAGTGGATTGAATTGTGTAACAGCTGGTCTAACTCCTAACTATTGAGCCTCATGCACATGGAAAGTGCCGCCCAGCATAGCTCAATGGGTCACGGGGGTATGCAAACCATCGCACAGCGCTAAGGTCCAGTCGCGTTGCGATGGAACTCATATACTGTAATGACAGTAAACTTTATCTCTTACGTTACTGCTATTGAAGTATAAATGCGAGTGTTGATGAACTTAAAAAAGAACCATTTAACGGCTACTCTTTACTAAACCCCGAGTGTAGCCGTTCGAGATTACACATTTCACCTATAGTCTCAGCTTGGGCGTGCTAACGTCGAATATTAAGTTTCGAATTATGTGTG